ATCCATCCATCCATCCATCCATCTATCTATCTATCTATCTATCTCTCTATCTATCCATCCATCCATCCATCTATCCATCCATCCATCCATCCATCTATCTATCCATCCATCCATCCATCTATCCATCCATCCATCTATCTATCTATCCATTCATCCATCCATCCATCCATCCATCCATCTATCTATCTATCTATCTATCTATCGAAAATCAAGCAATGCACCAGCACAGAAATAGAAATATTCACCTTTAAACACCGACTCAAAGGCAGACTCACTCGTTTCACATGAATAATGTCTGCCAGAGAAGGCGTGAAACTATTTTCCTCCCGTCTATCCGAGTATTTATTTTTCCGAACGGTCAAAGAGGGCCTAAAGCTAATAGTGAAAGGACATTCAAATGAAAACAACCTTCTCATAGAGAATCTCTGAGGCCTGCTGTTTGCGTTAAACCGTGGTCTGAGTCAGACCTCGTCTAAATAACCGGCCCTATTTTTTATTATATTAACTGTAGCATTGCATTGCAGTTACTTACTGTGCATAACTTTAACGCGCGAGTAGCGAGTATCCGATCAGTTCCCCACTGACCACAACAAACTCGCTACCACCAAACTCACCACCTCGATTTGACTCAAGCGTAATGTTTAGCTCCTCGCATGAAACTTACATCAAGTGAAAGTTAAGTTCAAGTAATGAATTGCGAAATTAGAAGCGCGAACAAATACGGCGAAATTAAAGCAACTCAAACTTTATTGTGTAGTGTCTCAATCATGGAAAGTTACTGCTAAATTAAATAAAACATGTTGATATCACGAAAATTGATCAGTGTGCACACGGGGGAATCAGAGTGATTTTCGCCGAGTGATTTTCGATGATGTATATTAAATCAAAACCGTATATAAACTTGCATCAAATTAAAGCTGAGAAGTAGAAGTATAATGCACCGTGGAAAGTGCATACAAAGACACTTGGCGTCCTTTTTCTGTGTTAAACACAAAGAATGTCGGCGTGACCTTTAACACGAGTTTCGTTCTTGTGAACGCAATTAGCCATCAAATCCGTCTAAGGGAACTTATATCATAAAAAAAGGTTAGCTCTTAGAGTTTAAATAATTTTGGTTTCGATGATGCGAAAATAAAAATGCACACAAACACAGTGTCCTCTGAGAGTTCCTGCTGGGGAAACGGATCAAACTTTGAATTGAACTGGAAGAACAAGCAGAGTGTAAGTGATGCTCCCTCTCACGGCCGCATTCGTTCAATTTCTAATTTCTTTGTAGATTTCGATTCTTGGCGGGTAATACCGAGACATTGTCTTTATTCTGAGATCATTACAGACTCAACTTTTCCCAATTATCACGACGGAAATTTCGAAAATTGCGGCTTTGAGGTGGGTCCTTACCAGG